ATCCTCTCATTTCATCATGAGTTGGTTGTGCCAGTTTAAAAGCCAGGGAACTGCATGAATGGTTTAGGAAACAATATATCTAAAAGTGAACAGAATTTGCGCAGCGGTTTTGCTGAAACAAAAGCCAGAGGTTTTGCTGAAAGAGGAACATCCTATACCAATTTACATGCCTTTAGTGGTAACAAATGGACAGAGTCTTTGAAGGAGCTTCATGATTGGAAGCCTGTATGTGTCTAAGAAATCGGAGGCACAGTTTATTCTTGTCTGATTATATATATTTTCCAGGGGACCTACATTTCTTAGGGGATTTTATGCTTTATACCGGGGTCAGCTTCTAATGTAATTGGAGACTGTTGATCTACATGTGCAATCGTGTGGTCGATAGAGTCTTTAGCGTTAAGAGCACTTAATGCTTGTTCCATAGTAGGAGCTCTACACACATTAACTTGAGAACTAGGTAGCTATCATATTCATGGTGAATGTGCATCTGGGACTGGGTCCAGTTGTGGCAAATGGACAAAGTCTGACCTGAAATGAGAATTTGGGACTCCTTAATTCTTTTTCTGTGATTCCACGATAATTTAAGGTTGCCAAAGACTTTGTGGAATACCTGTTGAGCAACGAAAAATGGCATCATGAAAGCAAGAAAGGCTCTTAGAGTCTTCTTGGCCAAGCATATACACATATTCTGGGAGACTTTTAAGCATCTTACAACATTGAGTCGCCAAACCAAGCCCTGTCTAGGCAAGAGGGACACCTTAGGCTTGTGTGTTCCCATTTAACTATTTTTTTTCCAAGCCTGTCCTTTTTTTTTTTTTTTAATGATCAAATGCTAAAAAGCATGCCTTGGCATCTCAGGCATACTAGGCACTGAACAATTTGCTAGCATAACCTTGGATGCTGGTATTAGTATGTTTAAAGTCAGTTTTGCATCAGATGTTTTAAACTCTGGCTTTGTCAGTCAGAGGGCTGATTTCATGGATTATTTTCTTGACCTGTATCTTTTAAGAAGTAAAGTTAGGATGTGTTGATCTCTTGTTAAGACTTGCTGAACAACGGTCTGTTGAGAACACCCCTGGGTTACCGCAGCTGACGATGACCTGTCCAGAGAGTTGGGAAGCTCCACAACGCATCTGTAATCCTAAAAACACTTGCAGAAATAGCAAGCTCCTGTGTATTGCTGTGCTCCCCCAGCCAGGGTGTGTTTCAGCATTCCAGAAGGTGTAAAATGCTGTGGCAGAGGTGACTTTGTTGAAGAGCAAGGGGATTTGAGTCTCTCTTAAGGAGTGGTAGGTTTTGGGGGATTTGGATGTTCATTCACTCTGAGCATCCTGTTCACACAGTCAAAGAGTGGATTTATAGTATTTTAGTGGTTTTGCATTAACTTATTTAGCAGTTAACTGGCTTCTTGGAATGGGTTATTTATGTCTGTAGAGTATGGGAGATCTGTATCTTTCCATGAACATGCATTTCTCCATGCGTGTCCTTCAGGTCATTTGATGCCGTTTCTTGCTAGATAGGGGTTGAATTAAAAGGAGCTGCTTAGAAATTAGCCATGACTGCAGGTAGGAAATCCGCCAAAAATACTTCCAGGGGCCTTAAGAGAGCCGTGGGGCATTTGTCAGTCGGGAGATGACTGCCTGCTTGGCTATGGCATGGTATTAGTTAGGCCTGTTTGGGGTCCTAAGATCGAAAGAAAACTAAACTGCTCTTAGAGAGGAAGACAAAGTCCCTGCCTGGCAGGGATCAAGAAGAGTTAGCTGGATGCTGCTTAGAAAAGGGGGACTGCGGACAGGGTCTGGGAATGTTGTAGGGAAGCACTAAGAAGAGTGGAAAGTTGCAGACAAGACTGAGGTGCTGAGATCTGCTGGAATATTGTCCCTTGTGTCTCTTGATGGTGTAGTTTAGGTTAATGGATCATTCGCTTCTCTGGAAAAAGTTGTTTAACTGTCATCAGTCACTGGTCACAGGTTCCTGCAGAAAAGTGTTGTGTGAGATCGGGTGGCTGATGTATTTAATAGGGCTACACGGAGGAGGAGATAGAATCTTAAAGGTAAGGAGATCGTGGGTTTTGTACCGTGAGTACCAGAGTCCCTCGGCTGAGGGGTGAGCCGCTGCGGCGTCTCAGGGCAATGGGGGGTCTCTCTGCCCTGTTGCAGCTATGGATGGAGAAAACACTTGTGCATCCTGGAGGGTTTGTTTAAGGAGACCGGTCTGTGGGGATCCGGCCCAGGAGAAGAGCAGGTGGAGGCTTGTTAGCTGGAAAGGGTGTCTGGAGAAACAGAGAGATCACAGATACCATTCATCCCTGCACATTTAGTCTACCTTGAAGCTGGTTTTTGAGTTAGCAGTCCTTCTCGCCCTCATGCAGAACTTAGCAGAAGTATGTCTGGAAACCACGTCCTCATAGATGTCTCCAACAATGTAGCGTATTTAGCCCAGCTGGCACATTTATGTAGATCTGGCCTTGGACACAAGTAGCGATGGGTCTGTGCTGGTTTCCCATGTTTACCTTGGAGCTGCAGAGTCAGCAGGATCCACTTGCCCTTGTGCCAAGGGGCTTTGCTGCAGGTGCCTGCTCCCTCTCCTTCCCGTTTTTGTGAGCTGTTCCTAAGGGCAGTTGTTGTTGTCCCCTTATGGATTCTGTCTCCATAAGCAGGCAAAGCAATACCTATGCTAAGCTTATGTGCAAAGCCGGAGGATAGGTATCAAAATCTGATAGCTTAATCATCCTACTACAAGAATTAGTGTGAACTACCGATGAGCAAATGCAGTCATAGTGCTGCCTCTTGCTATTAAACCTGGGAGTGGAGCAAGTATTACTTAACGTGAGGGTGAGTGAGGTTAAAGATGCTTAAAACATGAGGTGTCTTCCTGGGCATGCACGCTGGCTTTCCTGGTGCTACTTCTGGAGTAAAAGGAATGTGGATTAAATACATGCATGATGAGCAAAGACATACACACTAGCTCATTTTCAGGCTGACCAGTGGATTCTAGATGAGCCCTAATTTATGCTCTAAAAGAGATGACGAGGTCCAAAAAAATCTCAGCTGATTGCTCCAACATCTGGGGGTGTGAGTTGAGCTGCTTCTGCCGTGGTGAACTCCAGACGTGTGGCAGAGGCCGCTGGCTTACTGGACACATCTACTGCAGAAGCTGGACTTGGATGGTGGTGAGCTTGGCCTGCTCTGTGTATGTCTGGGCTTTGAATCAGTCCTGGTGAAAATATGGCCTCGTTAGCCCTCGCTGGGCACGGACTGGGAGCAGGCTTGCCGTGCAGAGCCCTCCCATTGTCCTGATTTGCTTTGAGTTCAAGGCCTGCGCTCTCGTTGTGGGAATTTTATCAATTTTGTTCTCATCATGCATACAGAATAGGGCTGGAATACAACTGTGAGGGCCGCTTGTCTTCTGCCATCTGGAGCAGGGACGTTCATCTTCAGAGACCTACAAACAGCTGTGCCTTTTCCCTGTGTGTTGTATTGGGGAGATCCTATGGCCACCCTAAACATCCTGCTTAGGAGCCCACTGCCAGAAAAGCCGATTTTCCATTTGTTTGTATGGCTTTTCTTGCTCTCTGTAGGTCTAACGACGTATCTGTGTTCACCGCGGAGCTGCATAGAGGAGCCAGCTGTGTTAGGAAAGCTAATTCGAATTTCCACTTTGGGCAAACTCCGCTTTCTGTGAGGAAACGTGAATTCTTGGTACTTCCTACCCATGGGGAAATGCCTGCGTACGCACGCTAACAGTTTTTTGAAAGCAGATTGAAGCTGAAGCCCAGGGCTTTGGGGGTCCTGGGGTGCAGGAGCCTCGTGGTTTTGCCATGCAGTGGAAGCTGCGGTACGGCTGCGGGGTCTTCAAGTTGCTAATGGTGGAAGCCCTCGCTTTGCAGCAACCTGACAGATGAACCGGTATGAGAATCAGGCAGGGTTTGTCAAAACTTCTGCCTGACCTCAGCGGAGTTATTTGTTGCTGTGTTTCTGTGAAATGTTCTTGTTTCAATGAATCAGCATTTCCTCATTCAAAAGAGGACTCATTTGAAAATTTTGGCTTGTTCTCTTGTGAATGCTTTTAAAGAGAATTTAAAACTACTGGTTCACACAGGACAAAATGGGTGTTTAATTTTTTTTTTTAAGAGAACTGTAGAAATACCAAAATGGGACAGCGCAGGGCCTGTGGTATGTAAATGAGATGAATTACATCATTTCTCAGAGACTGACTGGTCCTTTGCTAGGCAGCCTGTCCGGAGTAGGGTTGTGACATTCGCTCTGCAATTTGAATGTTTTTTAGAAGGTGTAGCTAATTCTGTGGGATTTAAATTATTTAGGTTAGTGCATTAAATATGGAACTCCATTAGGAGCGTGGAAAACTGTAATTTCTCCTGGAAATACATCTTTAAATGATTGTCCCTTTTCTATTGCTAATGTTAATTGAGTGTTCAGATGATAGTGTCACCTGATAGTTGGCTGTTACGATTTCTAAGGAATGCTTAATACCCTTTCAGATCTTGTTTGGTTTGGGTTTTTTTTGTTTTGGCTGATAACCAAATGTAGTGAATGAGAGAGAAGAGGTGGCCAAAAATATTGATGCCTTGTTTATTCACAGTATCCTGAGTCTTGTTGATTGTAGAGTTTGGGAACTGTGAAATTGGACATGAGTGGACATGTAATGGTGGGAGGCAAGCTGTGAAACAGGATGCTGCTCTGGACTTGCAGGGTCTTTGCTGGCATAGAAACATGGCTTTTCTAGGCTGATGTAGTCCTGGAGTTGTGCTCGTTGTGAATTTCTCCACAAACTGGGGACGGCCTCTTAAGTCAGATGTTCTTCAGTCTCACGTTGTTCCTTCCCATCCTTGAGTTTCTTCAAGGAGCCTTTACACAAAACTTGTCAGTTCTTAGCCACCGCTATTTTCTGAAAATAAAGTACTTGACATTGTATGTGAGTGGCCTAACACGTTTGTATGCCTGCCTTTGTTCCCTCCCTGTTCTGTTCTGCAGGTAATTAAATGCCCTTAGTGTGGATCTTTGCTCTGTTGGCATGCTTGGATGCACAGCAGCTCTTCCTGTAGCTTCTTTTCGTCTGCCCCATTGCAAGAAGATGGCAAAAGCAAACATTACCAGAGATATCATCCACAGACAGATCAAGGTATGTGATAGCCAAGTGTTCGCTTGCGTTGGGTGGAGGGCAGGTAGAGAGTTGATGCTCATGCTGGACTGGGAAATACGTTGTTGCCGTTACTTCTGAAAAGACCTCTGCTACTTACGTATTGATAAGCTCTGCGAGAAGCTTAAGAGAACAAACACATAGGACCTATCACTATCCTTAATGAAGAGCTGGGATGAAGTATGGCATAACAAGAATACCATGCTTCTTCCTAGCAGGGGCGCACCGTGCTAGTTTGACATCAGCAGGTCCGTTCCTTTTGAGTACAACGTTGAAGTGAGAAATATGGCTACTTGTGTTTGGACACCATAAAAGACCCTTAGTTAGCTTCCCTCATGAGTTTTCTGTCTGCTGTTTTATGTGTTCTCTTCGTGTGATCTTGCCATCAAAGGTATCTTCTGACTGTAGTAAAGCTAACGATCTCTGTCTCGGTCTCTTTCTGTCTCTTTTTCTTTAACGAGCTGTATGTTGCTTCCTTTGTGTAGGGAAAAACTTCTACGGTGGTCGGATCAGTCATCTGATAGTTGCGTTTGTGAAATATCTCTTAACGTGAAAGGACTAGCTACAGCAGACACAATAGGCAATTATTACTTGGACTCAGAGGCCTTAAATCATTTGCAGCTTTGCTGGTAATCAGCATTCACGAAAGTGGTCTGTTAGTGGCCAGAATAAGGAACTAGGAGCTTGAATGCTTGCTTCACTTTGCAGTTTGGTACCAAACTTTGTATTATAAGACTTGTAATTTAATCCATGTGCAAAGATTTATTTTGCTGCCCTAACAAGGAAGGGATGGTTCTGTGGTTAGAACATTAGCATGGGACTTTTTCACACTGTCTGGTCTGTTAGACTTTCATGTGTGACCTTGGGAAGATTGCAAAGTCTGACAGTTCCTTGTAGGAAAAACAATATCCTACTGCACAGACCACAAAGCCAGTGAGATTGTAACTGCAGCACCTTACACTGGGCCTAGCAGTGTTTTGGGAATGCTACCCGTAAAAATATGTCAAGGGGGTTGAATTTTATAATGGAAGTTACTACAAAAAGCCTGGTTTTTTTGTTTTTTTTTTCATTTTTTCTCCAAGCCCCTTATATCTGTCTCCATTTTGTTTTCAAATAGCTTTTGTTGTGTGAAGTCCATTACTTAAAATTGGTCTGCAGAGCTGTAATGTGATACACCAGTTCTTTGTATCTGCTCTGTGACTACTGACATGTTCCTAGTGCCATCACTGTCATTTTTGACATCAGTGTTCTCATCTATAAATGGTGATAAAGAAGGCTTAAGTTGTCTTTGCCTGACTGTAGCATGGCATGGGATGGGACCAAGGCTGGATCAGGCCTTAGGAAGGAGTCTCCTTGGACATTAGATGTTCAGTCCAAATATGACTTGCATTCCCTTTTCTTCATGCCTGCCTCTGCAGTTGGCCTTCTTTCATCGAAGCCATCTGCTAATGCATCTGTGAACCCTGTGAGATCACAGGGGAAACAACTGTCCTGCTTTTCTTCACCTTCATTTGTACTGACGCAGTTCTGTGGCAGCTGTAGAACAGGCTGTGCTGTGGTACTGCAGCTACATGCTCCTACTCCATTGCTGATGAAATAAACCGTCTCTAAAGGATGCTGTCCGGTTACGTTCCCCATACTTTGCCCCATGGTGGTGGTGGTGCTTCAGGACAGGTTCTGTGTAATGGCAGACTTCTGAGCAGCTGTGGTCTGGCAGTGCTGTCCTCAGAAGTGAGTTGCTTCTGAAATCCTTGCCAAAAAATAATGACAGGTGTTCCCAAGCTCTTCTATATCTTCTATTTCTGGCCCAAAGTAGGCAACTTGTTCTTAGTGTGGGCCTCTCAAACCTTGTCTTGGCTACCCAGCTGGGTCCCAGCAATTAGATAAACACCGTTTTAAACCAATTCATGGGCAAGGATTACAAACTGCCTACCTGGAAATGATGCAAATGGTGTCTCCCTCATGCTATGGACACCCCAATACCTGGCAAGATCCCAGCTTGATTTTTAAAGTTCTTGGATCTTCTCTTAAAGGGGAAAAGGAGTGTTTTATTTGCTGTAGTCAGTGTGGTGCTTGTTTGCTTCATGCAGGAGAGGGGTGCGCTGGGCTTTGAACGACACTACCATGTCACTGATCCATTCATTCGACGCCTGGGCCTAGAAGCAGAATTGCAGGTAAGCCTGCAGCGTTCAAAGAGCAAACCGAGCTGCTTGTTGTACAACTTGCTGCAGAAAGGACAGTGTGCGGGAGTGTATGAAATTCTCTCTCTCATGTGGGATAGCTACTGATTACTTAGTCCCCTAAACTGCATTAGGGCCAGGAATAGCTCAGTGAGATCTTGTGTGAGCTTTCTGCATTACCCAACGCACCTACAGGAGAGCCTTTAACGGGTGTGTATCAGCTAATCCCAACAGTGCGGCCTGAAGAAGGCAGTTGTCAACTGTTGAAGATACTCAGCTCTAATGCTGAAGAGAGTAATGTGTTGCTTAAAGACTGCTCTGACACAGCTTAGAAAGATCTTAAGATTGTCTTGGTTTGGGGAGGAAAGGATTCTTTTGTCCTCGATTTTTCAATTGCATCTGCCGTGTCAAATGCTCCCCTAGTCTTTCCTGGTACGGTTGTTAGTTAATTTGGATAAAGATGGATGATCTAGTAACCCAGCAGCAAGGTGCTGCTAAAAGAGTTATCAAAAGTGCATTTTCCCTGCGTTCCCAGAGAACCTGTGCATGTAATTTGTCAGCCTAGCCGAAGGGTTTTGAAGCAAAGTCACCTTTCCGTGTGTACAGCAGGATTTCATCTGTAGCCTCTGAGACTAAACTGCCATTTTATTCAATGCTGCATTTCTTTTTTATTTGTTTCATTTTGCCTTCTCTACCCCAACTGCTATAGCATGTCTGTCTTTTCTTGAGGTGCTTATCTGCCATGTGGGTGGTTTTTTGCAGGATTGGAATAAAAAAACCTGCTTGTATTGGAACAAGTTGTTACGTATGGGGAGCTCGCTGTGTCCTTGTCTTGGAACAGCTCTGTTTGATACGTCTGAAGTTTGTGTAATACCATCTTCCCTTTTTTTTTTTTTTTTCTCAGGGTCACTCTGGGTGTGTCAACTGTCTAGAATGGAATGAAAAAGGAGAGTAAGTGTGTGGTTTGATTTGGGGGATCAACAAACTGATAACCCCAGGTTCTCCCAAGTGTAGGATGTAGGTCATCTTATCATAAGCAGCTGCTTCCCATTCCTAGTAAAGCAGAGCTCAAGCTCAAAGTTTTGAACCATAGTAGAGCTCATGCTTGAAAAGAAGCTTTATTTTGTTAAATATATCTGGATATTATTAGAAATGTCCCTTTAGTGGGTTCAGAAGGGAAATGGCCAGACTAAGAAGTGGAGATTGAAGGCTGCTTCTCTTCTCTTAAGTGGTATTATGGATTATAATGGATCTTTAGGATTTGCCCAGCTGGTAGTGACATTTCCCCACCCCCTTCACCATGCTGTTAAAAGGTTCTGCTGGGGGACAAGTATATAAGGGAGAGAGGTAGATCGTTTGCCCCTCTGCAATTTTAGAGGGAAGCTAAACATAAGAGCATTTCCCTTAACCAAGTGGAATAAAGAGTATTGGCATGAGAAACAACTTGATGGAAGGAAAATGTTTCTTGACATGCCTCTTACAAGATCCAAAGTCTGCTGTCTGATACTCTCTTTCAGAATTATTTACCAGTGAAAATTTCATGTACTTGAAAGAGATCTGGCTACAAGGAAATAAGTTTAAAACAGCTGATAGTTGCAGACGTCAGATTCTTTTGCTTCAAATGAAGATAGATGTGCAAGGCGAACAGCGCCTTGCGATACCGCTGCCACACCCTACACTTAAAGCAGTCTCTGAATCACTGAATGAGCCCTGGCTTGGGACTGCTTGGGCACATCCAAAGTCCAGGAATGAATGCCTTGGCTTGGGTTCGGGATGATGTGGAGCACTTAATGCAGCCAGGCTAATAAGGAAAATGGAGACCCTGCGTTTTGTTGTTGACCAAATGCTCCTATTGTTTTCGTCTGTGTCATCTGAATCTGTGGTGAGCTGGTTCAATGAGCTAAACCAACGAAAAACACTCGCTGTATTTTCTATGGAGTTGATGTTTGGCTGGTTTAGCTCTCTGACTGGGCTGAATGGATTGGCGTATGGGGCACAACAAGAACACATAGCTGAGAAAAGAGGGAGGAAGTGGGCTTCTTAGAGCTGAATTAACTTAATAGCTGTCTGTGGTCAAACCACTCTAAGAAACTGGTCATGGCTTAGAACAGAAGAGTACATGATGCATACTTCTCTTCTGTTTCTTTTAGCTTGTTGGCCTCTGGCTCTGATGACCAGCATACCATTGTCTGGGATCCTCTGCACCACAAGAAACTCCTTTCTATGCACACAGGACATACTGCAAACATCTTTTCTGTCAAGGTATATGGTTAGAAGGAATGAATGGCTAACAAAATCAGCAACCTGGGAAACATTTTCCTGCAAACAGTCCCCCTGCCCCCTAAATAATTTAATATTTCTAATGTTACAAAAAAATTACGTTAATACCTTCACTTCTTAGTTTGTGCAGCTCCCAGGCTTATCACGTTCTCTCTGTAAATTGAAAGGAAGTAGTTGTAGCAAATTGGGATGTGTGATGAAGAGACTATTTTGTGTGCCACTATAGCTGGTGACTTGTGAGTGTGCACACTGGCATATATGTAGCGTAGGTAATAAAACATGGGTTATCCTGTGTTCCTCAAGCAAACTGCTCTGTGACTTGCCAGGACAGCTCAGCGATGTCCATGGGAACAGCCTCAGCACTTCTCAGGTTTGAATTGTCAAATCTGTGTCCCACAGTTCTTGCCGCATTCAGGAGATCGGATCCTCATCACGGGAGCTGCAGATTCCAAGGTGCATGTCCATGACTTGACTGTCAAGGAGACCATCCACATGTTCGGAGATCACACCAACAGAGTTAAGCGGATTGCCACGGCTCCCATGTGGCCTAACACCTTCTGGAGTGCAGCAGAAGACGGGCTAATCAGGTACAGAACTCTAGTTGTTCTGCCCCAAAATTAATTGGATTAGGATCCATTGCAGTATGTACTATGCACAGATCTGAAGAGAGACTGTCTCTATATTAAAGAGCTTAAGTTAATCTCTCCCTTTCCTGAAAATGGAAGGATTCATCTTGAAATGTAGACTCCTCTGATAAATACTCTCCTCAGCTCCCCTGTTTTCCCCCACTGAAAAGGGAGGCCAAGAAAGGAACAGCCGTGTCAAATGGAAGGGAGGTAAAACACTGAGCGACTTTTCCCTCCAGAGTCATTGTGGGTCTTAAATGAGTAATGTTACTACGTGAGTCTCTTCCACTTTTCATACGAGTTACTGTTTGTGAGGTCATGACTTGGAGTTTAATTTGGGACTTGAATAAAACTGTGCACATTATAGAACTGGTTTTAATGGTTATCCTGATATTGAGACCTAGTGTATCTTGAACCGAGTTGCTTTCAGTAACCTGTGGCACAAATGACTGTTAGTGTCGTTAGTGTCATCTCATTGTGCACAAGCCAGATAATTAAGTGTAGGTCACTAATGAGCAGTGTAAACCTGCTGCTTTGGGTGGTCTTCAGTTTGGTCACCGTGGAAAGCTAACCTCTCTCTTACTGCTCCTTCTGTTATCTAGCGGCACAGATTGCCTGACTCTCTCTTCCCTTTGCAGACAGTATGATCTGCGAGAGAACAGCAAACGTTCAGAAGTTCTGATAGACCTGACAGAGTACTGCGGGCAGCTGGTGGAGGCCAAATGCCTGACGGTCAACCCCCAAGATAACAACTACTTAGCAGTAGGGGCAAGTGGACCCTTTGTGCGGCTCTACGACATACGCATGATCCACAACCACAGGTAATGGCAACTGGCTTTTCTGGGCCTTCGGGGCAGACGTGAGTGGTACAGAAATCTGTTCAAGGCTCTGGTGGGAAGGGGGAGTGCAGTGATCTGGCACTTACCTGTCTCGCAGTGAAGTTTTACCCAGTCTTTCCTATCACCCGCAGCCTTTTCGATCTGTGTGCGTACACTGGGGTGGTATGAGGCAGGCTTGTGACTGCACAGCTGTGTAGGCATGAGGCCTTCCCCTCGTGTGTGAACAAGAAGTGTCAGTGTAGATCAGGCTGCCAGCAGTTCAATGCTGTGATTGTAAGACTGTTCTTCTTTCTGGCTAGAAAAAGCATGAAGCAGAGTCCTTCAGCTGGAGTGCACACATTCTGCGACCGACAGAAACCCCTTCCGGATGGTGCGGCACAGTACTACGTGGCAGGTATTGGGACCTGTGCTGGGGGTGATTTACGGGACTTTTATGTTAATGCCTGAATAATTGGAGTTCTACCCATAACACAAGAAACCACTGCTTGGCAGAGGTTTCTGATACAGGGATGTTCCATGGAGTTGCAGTTTATTTCACTTCTATGCTGTGAATTCTTGCTTATGGTACCTGCCCACTTTCCCTGATTTGGCAGTGGTGTGTGTTGGTGAGCTGGCCTTACTTCTTCTTCTTTAGCCTAAATGTCTTTTTGTCACTTTTGTTGGAAAGTCAAGGATTGGATAACCTGGGCGCAATAGGCTTTCTCCTGGAACTGGTCCCAGCAAGGCTGCTGTTCAAAATCTTTTTGGCACAGAAGTGGCTTGTCCTCATCCTGCAGATGAAGAATCAGTGATGCAGTATCTGGGCAATCTAGATGACATTCTTCTCCAGTGCTCATTATTTACTATCTTTTTTCCCCAAAAATGTTTGGGTTTTTTAAAGTATCTTAGACCAGCCTGTTCAGCAGACCGATTTTGGCAGTCTTGCTTCTGATGAGTCCCTGATAGAGGATTTCTTAGGTCCCCTGAATTGGTCATGCAACACATCTGCTGTCTGAAGCAAAAGAACCTCTGTGTGAGCTGAATATTTAGGAGCCTTGCTTTGATTGTGCTAAGGGCTTTATTAAGGAAACCTGAGTAGAGGGTTGACGATGGAGGTATTTGTTTGCAGATGGCCACAAATCACAGAAGCCAAATCCGTAGGAATCCCTAAAACTGAGATTTGCTGGGTTCTGCAGACTTCATTGTTAGCAAGGTAGTTATAATCCAGTCTTCTCTTCATACGGAGATGACCTTGCAGAATTGATATCTAGAACTTGTGAAAAGGCAGCTATGCACGTCTACGTGGTTTGGTGGCTGATGGAGGGATTCAATAAACAGCAGTAGGAAATGGAAGATCGCTTAGGTGCATGTGCTTCATGACATTGCTCTTCTAACAACCCCTTGTAAAAGGGAGCAGCTGGGGTAGGACAAAGACAATGGTTACTAGTCATGCTAATATGTATGGGTCTCTTCTCTCCATAGGCCACCTTCCAGTGAAGCTTCCGGACTACAACAACCGGCTGAGAGTTCTGGTGGCCACATACGTCACCTTCAGTCCTGATGGCACTGAGCTCTTGGTCAACATGGGAGGGGAGCAGGTAAGAAGACAGCTAAAGTTTGGCAGAGAGCTTCACATTCGGTTGTGTTTGTTGGGTCACCATATGTTGTTATGCATTCTTGAAAATGGGTATAGCAACTTCTGTGTGGGGTAGTATGATTGATTTTAAACTGCTTTCTCATTCATTCAGACTAAATGCTTGGTATTAGGGCTCTATTTGTTATGCTTCCGCTGATCAAACTTGAACTGCATTCTATTCTGGTTTTCCAATTCACATTTCACTCTCTGGAAGAGTTAAAAAAAAAAAATTAAAAAAAAAATCAGTTCTGGAACTGACTTTTGCTGACCAAGAAAAGAATTCATAACTGGTTCTTGAAACATCAAACTGCTTCTGTAATAGAATCTAGTGAAAAAGGAACTTACAGAAGCAAAGGCCTTCACCTGGAATATTGATTGCATTAATTTTAAGCGCTGGGTGATATTCATGGATCTTCTGTAAAGCCTATCAATGAAATGAGAAAATCCTCCTGACAGCATTAATCAGCATGGATTAAGCAGGAGCTTCATTTGTGGGCGAGTTACTCTGTGGTTGTCCTCTACAGATCTCTTTCTCACACGTGCACTCATTCCCTTTAAGAGAAGGTGCTGAGTTAGATGAACTGTAGGTCTGATCTGGGCTGTCGATTCCTATACCAGTACAGTTTTAAATTAGGGCTTCTCAGGGCTGCTTTCGAAGTTTCTCAGGAAATCCTCATTTCATTTTAGAAAGACTTCGGTTTTGGTTTAGTGTACCACCACTTTTCTGACAATAAATGTTTGATTTCTTCATGATCACTGTGTTCATTAAATAGTTAAAGTATCTTATTGGAGTTGAAGTTTTTTGAGCAGGTTGGTTTGTGGTCAGGACATCTTTTAAGTTCTGTAGGTGTGGAGAGGGCTTTCTTACATCTTGAATAAGACAAGGCTCCTCCTCAGCATTATTCTTTCTGAACCCAGTGCTGGAACGGAACACACCACTGGTACTGCTGTCATCCTGTGCATACCCATCTATAAACAAGATTCCCAGTTAGAAGATCAGAAATAGCAAAACTCAAATGTGGAACCATATACCCATGTAACCCTGTTTTATTTCTGTGACCTGAGCATCTATGTTTCACTGCCTTTTTTTGTCTCGTTCTCTTTCTTCATTCCTTAGGTCTATTTGTTTGATCTAACATACAAACAACGACCATACACTTTTCTCCTCCCAAAGAAGTGCCATGCTTCAGGGGGTAAGTATGATACTATCACGAAAGTGAGTGGAAAGCAGAGTGAAATCACATACTACATGACTCTTGTTCAGGGTGCAGCCCAGTCTGAGCAGGAACTAGGAAAATTAAGTAGGGCATGGCTGTTGCTGGGCTGTTTCTGCAGTGCAGTTCCTACCCTGAGTTCTAAAACTCTTCTACAGAGTGACAAAACATGTTTTGAGGGAAGAAGTGAGCTGTTGAGAGGTGTACGCATGTGTGAACTAAGGAGAATGCTTAAAGCTGTGCACAAAGGATAAAGCAGACTTGATAGAGTGGTTGATGTCCTGGTATCTGGCCTTCAACTAAGGGGGGGGAAACTTTGTGGATGGGCATGGAATTGGTATATTGTTTTTATTTTTTTTAAACTTACTAGTAAAATGCAGAACAGCTCTGTTATCCCCTTATGCGTCCATTAGGAAGGAGACAGAACAATCTCTTCCCTAATCTTAAGAATCTGGCCTGGCACTAATATCCCTCCTGGTGGTGAGATAGTTGAATCAAAAAGTCATTTATTTGAGAAGTAAGTATATCCAAAAGCCTTTTTATTCCTGGCCCTGTTTCTTACAGGGCCTGTTTGTACACAGATATTTCAGGCAGTACGCAGTGAATGGCTGCAGGGTTATTCCCCGGGCACAGGCTGACTCTTACCAGGGAGTGTTCCCTGCTCAGCCCCTTCCCTGTTCTCAGAGTGCTCTGGCAGAGTTTGATCTGTGTACTCGGCGTGCCTTAGGCCTTAATCTAACACTCAGATACTGGTAGCAAATACATGCCCTGCCTACCTTTCTTTTCTGTCTTGAATGCATGTGGGTGATCTGTACTGTGGTATCTGGTGAGGTCATGCTTTAAATGGCAGGACAGCGTTTGAACAGGCTCACAGTGCTGCAGTTGCAGCAAGCGCTCCACCCTGTTGGGCACAGAAAGTTCAGGCAAAGGCTGTGAAAAGGCAGTATCTGTACAAAGGCTGAACTTTGTCCGCACGCATGTCTTTGCACACTGAAATCTCTGAGCAGTTCAGTAGACTGGTTGGACAGTGTCCCCAGTTTCCCAGCCTGTGAAATGCCTGCAGGAGCACTCCCAGCTGCAACACAAATGCAGTTTGTAAAAATTTAAGCTGAATATTTTCTATAGAAATGGCAGGTAATGTGGCTGCATGACCTTCAGAGGATTACTGCAGCTTGTAACAGCTCCTTGAGCAGTAGGGTAAGAAAAGAAGAAAGCATCTGGATTTCCTTTACTGGATTCCTACAGTGGTTCTGGTCATCTTCCTTGCTCTATTAAATGTTCAACAATGTAGCTCTATGATTCTTTATCTGAGTGAATCTAAAATAAAAAGTTACTAAATGCTTCTGCAGTTCTAAACATCAGGCTTCTGGTGATCAGACAGGTACTCCGATTATGACCTAGACTCAGTCTGAAGGCAGTTCAGTTCAAGCTGCCCTCTCTTTGTGTGTGTATACTTAGTTTTATGTGCATCTAGTTTTCTGTTCTAGAGTTGTATTGCAAAGGATACTGCAGAGATTTTGTAGTAAATGTAAGAAAGGAAATCAGATCCAGGTGACTGGAGGAGATGGGGTGTGTGGAATCATGGAAGTTTTATTGCTGCTCTGAATTGGGCTGTGGCGTTGGCTTGGCTCTGCTGTAAAATAAACCCCTGAAGCTTCAGATATTAGTTTGTATAATCTACATTGATACTTAGCATGGCTGTATTTTTTTTTTCCTAACCTTCAGAAGTGCAGAATGGAAAAACCTCTACCAATGGAGTGTCGAATGGCATCCATCTCCACAGCAATGGCTTCCGCTTGTCTGAAGGAAGAGCACATGTGAGGTAAGGGGACAGTTCTACCTATGTGAAAGCCCTAGGGCTTTGTTCTTGTCCTCTTCCTCTTGCCAGGGTTAGGTGCTGCTAAACGAGGTGTGAAGTGCAAATGCACTTGGTCTGTTGACTTGATTGTCAAGTGGCCTCTGTCCTAGAAGCTGTATTTGCCGCTGCTGTGTGGGCTATGAAGAAGAGTCCAATCAGGCAAGAGTGTCCTGCGAGAAATGTTGTCTACGAGGATTTTTCCCCTCTTATGATGAATTACTGCAGACAAAACTAAGAAATGACTTTTCAGACTTGGAAGCAAGGTGTTCTTAGTTGTCCTGAGCAGTTGTTACTTCCTGATCTGCAGGAGCTGTGTCTTGGTAAATGGGAGAGGCTGTCGGGTAGAAAGAGCCTTGCTTTCCCTTTGCCTTTTTTTTTTTTTTGGGTGCCTGCCTGCTGCAAACTGAACTGAAGCAGCCAAAATTGCTTTACGACAATGACACTGGTGTCATTACTCCTGCAGTAGTCGGTGTGTGAGCTAGGAATGGATGGAGGGCCCTCTTCTATTGTTCCTGCTGCTTGTTTTCTTTAGGAGCAAAATGCAGTTGGGGTGAAGCAGAAGCAGACTTGAAGCGCATCTTGCTGACTGTTTTTTAACTCCAGCTGATGAGACATGGTTAAAAGTCAAGACACAGTTACTTAATACCATATATGGGTAGTCTAGGTTCCACCAAAGTCACTTTGTTGAATGTTTTCAGCTTATTTCCTCTAGATGGCCCCTCCGTCACAGCAGCAGAGATGTGGCTGGAATTTTGGATTGCTGAGCATGGGCCTTATGCAGCCCTGTGAACTCAGATGCTTGGTTTCCTTCCGAATTTGCATTCTGTTACACAATGCTAAAAAGAGGATTGGAGATGTTGTTTATGCAGTCAGAGCAAAGATGCATTGGTGAAGTCTGAGGGATCAGATTCTTAAAATACCCACTGTTCAATTTTGAGTATATGTGTATAAAGAAAAAACAGAAACAGTCTAACAATGGTCAAAAAGAAACCTTCCTCTTAAATTCAGGTTATTCAGGTTCAGGATCTCTTCTGCCTTTTTCTGAAACTTTTGGTATTAGCTAGTGCTTGCTGGGACTTGCTAAGCTAGAGAAAAACCCACTGCAGACATTTATCTGGAGTTAACAGAGCATTAGCATGTTAGACTTACCTGTGCTCCTTTCTTCTTTCCCTTCAGTCCCCAAGTGGAGTTGCCCCCGTATCTGGAGAGAATCAAGCAGCAAGCCAACGAGGCCTTTGCTTGCCAGCTGTGGACTCAAGCCATCCAGCTATACAGCAAAGCAGTCCAGAAAGCCCCCAACAATGCCATGCTGTATGGAAACAGAGCTGCTGCCTACATGAAGCGCAAGTGGTAAGGAAGCAGAGAATATCAGAGAGTTTGGTGTCACAGGCAGTGCTGGTGCCTGACTTCTGAGGACCACGGATACCTTGCTGTCCACTGCGAAGCACCTGGCTTCCCTGTGTGTGGGGCAGGATTGGGGTTATTGGATCAAGCCGTAAGTGGGTCATGTCTGGCACAGAACAAGGGGATTGCACAGCAGCATGTGTTGGAGAAATTACAGCCACAGATACCGCACAAGCAAGCACAGCTGGTAATAGCTCATCATATTGCCTACTGGCATGCTGAGTAATGTTCTGTTCCTTTCCTATTTAAAAAGAAACCAAAAATCCGCTTCTGAGCAACAGCATTATGAGTGTCTCCAAGGGTGTTTGTGTTTCTTTGGATAGTTCTGATCTGCATTAGAGTATGGCTCTGAATCTGCTGTCAAGAGATGAGGTAATGGTTGCGATGCTTTATAACTTCGTATCTCATGATATAAGATAGTTGTAAGGACTGCCTGGAGTTGCTTTGGTGGCTGCTTTGTCCAAGTAACTAGTACTGCAGATAGTCAGACGTGACCTGGTGATTCCTGTGTTACCCCAGCTAACCCACATTCCCCTTGACTGGAAACAAACCTCTCTGAGGGATCTGGGGAGGTGGCAACTGGTGCCTCAGAGTCTGAGGAAGGTTCTGTCTAGATTGTTGCAAAATACGCCGTTAGCCTCTGCAGTAGGTAATGTCTTCTCTGACCAACAGCTAGAGCTGCATCTGCAAGATACAGCTGAGTTATTTTAGCAACTGTCCCCTTGAGCAGAGTAAGACTGAGTAGCATGACTTGCCATTAACATATTTAAAATAGCTGTGGTCCTTCATCTACATTTGCTTTGTAAGGATATCCTTCTCTCCCTGCTGAAATCCCCAGTATGAATTCTCCTATCTTCTTGCCAAGATAAAGAGCAGCCAGCAGTTGTTGTGACTGTTGGTAACTGGCCTACTGGCTGTTTTGCAATAGCAGAGATTTGGGAGCTGCCTCAAAAAGACCTCAGTGTTCAGAGAGAGAAGAACAATAGGTTGGGATTAAGGAATGGAAGACAGAAGCCGAGTGCTGATCTCATGAATGACATTTTTCTTATAGGAATCGTTTTTCCCGAAGGATGTTGGCAAATCTGAACCTTTCTGTGTGTCAGCTAGTGCTTTGCTACAGTTTTCAGTAGCAGGAAGATGTGAAAATATATGCACAATGGGCATGCAATGATTAGAATTTAAATAGTACCGAGCTGATATCTTCTCAGGTGCAGAAAGGACGGGGCACTTTTCTGCTAGGAACAGCTACTGGTGTGTGGCAGAAAGTGGCTGGGATGTCACTGAGAAGGAGGGTGAAGCAGTTGGACAGCAACTCACGCTGAACCACCGTGTTCATGTTCAGAGCAGGAACAGCTATAGGCCACCCTGCAAAATACTGCAGGTCTTGCTTTGTCCTCGTTCTCTCAATAACAGAGAGATCTAGAAAAAAGGAAGGTCTGTAATTCCCTCACCTCCCCTTGCTGATCTCCCATAAGATGCTACTCGTACTCTGCAGCACTCCTAAGGCTGTCCTTTTAAAATTTGCTCATAAGAGCCAACTGCATCACTCTCCAGATTGCCTTCAGCAGTCTATGTTGGTAGTACTTAGCTGATTTCTAGTTAGAGCATTTTTACACAAGCTGAGTGAAACCTGTAACAATGGGAGAAGCCAGTGCCTGCTTTACATCTCAACATGTACATTTTCATACCAATCTGTTGGGCTGTCTGACACTGGTAGTTGAGGTTGAAGGATTTTTGAGGGTAGCAAAGCAGCTCATAACCCAGTCAGCTCTGAAAACGCGAGACACCCGTCTGTCATCATAACAGGTAACTAGTATTCCCTCTTTCTTTGAATAAAAGTGGCCTGATGCTGTGCATCCGGCCTCCTGGATTAACACGGACTCAGTGCTGCAAAGACAGCCCTCAAGAACCATGTTTCTTCTGCTCTACTGCAGATCTCATGGACAAGGCACTCCACCTTCTGTACTGTGCTAGCAAGCTGTAATATGTGGCCAATATCCGCCTAGATGGGAGGGAGCAATAGGATGAATGGTTTGCAGAACATGCTTGTAGCACTGCATAAGCGCTGCTTAGCATGTAACCCAAAGATTTGGAGCTCCCTTTAATGAGTAGAGATACAGGAGCACCTACTCCCTGACAAAGGCTCCATGTGATCAAAAATTGTCACCCTGTAGAAGGTACAGGGTAATTCATTCCCTTCCCCTTGGGACTGTTTCAGACTTTGGTAGGTGCAGTGCACGTAGGCTACAGGTGTGAAACATTATTATTAGTAATAGTAGTAATGGTAGTAGCTATCATATGGAGACTTGGTGCTCTCTCAAGACACATTGTGATATACTAGGCGTGTCAGCCCTGGCTGACTTCTCAGCCTCTGTCAGTCTGAACTCAATATCAGCATGCAAGGCTCGTCAAGTCTCTCCTCTGCTTCCATAGCACAAGCAGAGTCATTCTTATTCCCACAGCCCTGGAGCTTAGGGAGATCAAGCATAGTCTCCAGTAACTGTAAATGGGATATAAATATCCATTATGATACCAGTCTGCTATAACGCTTATTTTTAAAATTTAAAAGATGAGGTGTAAAGATGAGAAAAGACTGCTGCTTTAGATAGTTGTCCATCAGGGCTATGAAATGTGGTGGTTCTGTAGCTCCTTCTTGAGGGCTGCAAGTGGCTGTGGGCAGGGAAACATGCTGCCACGCTGTGCGCCCACAAAGGGGCACGCGTGAGCTGCCGTGCTCTGAGGAGGCCCTGCTTGCCTTGCAGGAGAGGCCTTGTGTCTGCTTGGCCAGAGGGCTTGTGCATCCTCCATCTTCAAAGGACTTCCCTAAATGTGTGATATCCGTGAGCTCTGCTCGGTCGGATTTAAAATGGCAGGTCAAGACTTGCTGGGCTTCCCTGTGTGGTCACGTTACAGGGCTGCCTGTATACGTGTGAAGGTGCATTCAAGAAGCTGGGCTTGGTCAGATGGTGCCCCTGAGAAGCAGCAAATGCTATCAGTCTATGAGCTTGTGGGGTGTCTGCTTGCATAGAGCGAGCTGGAAATTACAAGCTTTAGAGTGAAATGAGGGCTGGGAAACAGCAGTGAGGAATGTATGCTGTTTCTGCTTGGGCTATCTAATCCTCTGCTCCCTTTTCTTCAGGGATGGGGACCATTACGATGCTTTAAGAGACTGCTTGAAGGCCATATCCTTGAATCCATGCCACCTGAAGGCCCATTTCCGTCTTGCCCGCTGTCTCTTTGAACTCAAGTATGTGGCAGAAGCACTGGAGTGTCTGGATGACTTTAAAGGGAAGTTCCCAGAACAAGCCCATAGCAGTGCCTGCGATGCACTAGACAGAGACATCAATGCAGCCCTCTTCTCCAAGAGTGATAATGGTGAGTGCCAGGGTTCAGTATGGTTCTTCAAGGTTATACTAAAATCTAATGATCGGACATGGAATTTTCTCCTTAAACTGTCCCTCTGAAGTAAAGCTCCAACTTCTGAGAGAGATTGATTGTTACTGTGCACAAAAACTGGCCTGAGCCTGTTCTTTCCTTGCATCTAGTCCTGGTTTGCTCTTGAGCGAGAGTATGATAAAAGGAGTCTGATGTACCCAGGAGATAATCTGGAAGGAAGCTTGTGCTCTAAGCCCTGCTCCCTGCTGGAATTGTCCTTAACTCTTCTCTAAAGCTGTTGGGGTCTCCTAGAGTGCTGTTTGCTTAGAACATGTTCTTCCCCAAATTGTGATGAGGGAAATCTGTTGTCCTTCCAGCTGAAGACAAGAAAGGGGGTGGCCCCATCCGGCTGCGAGCCACAGGCCGCAAGGATTCCATCTCAGAGGATGAGATGGTGCTGAGGGAGCGCAGCTACGACTACAAATTCCGATATTGTGGCCACTGTAACACTACTACAGACATCAAAGAGGCCAATTTCTTTGGCAGGTATGTTGGCAGAGCATAATAGGGATGCAGGACAGGAGTGTGAGCAGCAGCAGAATGCTCTCTTCCATCGGATAAAGCCTCATGCGTAGCCCCATGTGACTGTTCATAAAATGACACTGACACTGGTTTGCAGGGTTGAAAAAGATGACAGAAACCCTCCTCCTTGTGTGGCTGCATGAATAGCTGGTTCAGTAGCAGATCCACAGAGGACCCTTTTGGGCTAGCGTTTCAGAAAAGCCATTTGGGATTGAAAAGATAAATCCCGGGGATGGAGGGAACCAGCACAGAAAGCTTTGTCTGGATCCATAAGCGTGAGGGGTGGCAGCCTGCTGATTATAGAAGCCAACTGAGGTTCTGATGTCTGCTAGAGACTAGCTTTGGCTCTGAGCTGTGATCTCCAGTCTCTGCTCCTCTCACCCTAGCAATGCACAGTACATAGTCAGTGGGTCAGATGACGGCTCCTTCTTCATCTGGGAGAAAGAAACCACCAACCTTGTTAGAGTGCTGCAGGGAGACGAGTCGATTGTGAATTGTCTCCAGCCTCATCCCAGTTACTGCTTCCTGGCTACCAGCGGCATTGACCCAGTTGTACGACTCTGGAACCCTAGGCCAGAGGTAAGAGCCGCACTAAAAGGCTGTCATGAGATGTGACACAGACTGGCATTTACTATTGGGATCTCCTGATAGTTGTGGCAGCAGGAGTAACAGCCCCTCTTTGGTCCTAGCACTGCCTTCCTGAGTTCTCTCCCTTCTTGTCTTGCAGAGTGAAACCCTTAATGGCCGCGTGGTAGTAGACATGGAAGGTGCTTCCCAAGCTAACCAGAGACGGATGAATGCAGACCCGCTGGAGGTGATGTTGCTGAACATGGGGTACCGGATTACAGGACTGACCAGTGGTGGGGCTGGAGGCTCAGATGATGAAGACAGCTCAGAGGGGCAAGTGCAGTGCCGGCCCAGCTAAAACAGAACTGCCTCTCCTTCCTCTAATTGTTTGGCTGAAAGGGAACCTAGTTTCCTTGGTCCTGAACTTTCTCTGATGAATGACTGCACTGTTTCGCACTATGCACAGAGTAGGACAAGCTGGCAGGGGCAGGAGCGGCTGTCTCTTTAAACCATCGCCACCACCTCCTCCTTCTCCCCTCACGCTACCGAGCAGCATGGCAGTGCAGTTTGGGGTTTGCCTTTAGTGGAATTTAGTCCCAACAGGGGTATTTGAGTTGTCTGTAAGCAGTGTAAGCTGGTGATCTTTCTTTCCAGAGCTGCTGTATGATCTGGTGCAGGGAGATGTTGCCTGCGTTCATGCATTTGCAGAGGGGATGTTAAATTCCTGAATAAAATACAAACCTAGGGCGGGGGTTGTGGAATGAATTTACTGCAGTGATCTTGGTCTGGAAAGCTTGACTCTGCTTTTGTGCTACCAGCCTGTCTAGAGGCCCCTGGTTTAGGGTTGTTGGCCATGAAACACCTGTTTTGTCCCATAACATCTTTCTTCTGGCTTCCATCTCTAACACATTGTCACCAGATGTAGCTGTGTTGTATTAAGGACTGGATATTGCCTGTCTTGTCCCTGGCCGTCTGTCTTAGTTTATGAAACAGTGAAGGCACTGAGTATGTGCAGCTCAACACAGCAGGATGTGCTTGCCCAGCTCTGATCCTTTCTTCTGTGGTCTATGAACCTGTGGAGAAAGGTGACAGCAACAAGAGCGGGTTTGAGCGGAGGCCTAGGACCTGCGGACCTAAAGCTGCTGAGGAAAGGGGCTGGTAACAAAGCTCTTCCAGAGCTGCTTTCTCCGTTGCCCAAAATGTGTGTAGTTGTATTCACCTTCTCTTCTCCATGTCATCTGTGCTGGAGCTGAGAACGTTAACCACCGTGTATATGTTGCAATTAAAGTTTCAAGCTTTTAGACGGCAGCATTTTTTTGCAGTCCGCTGCTCTGTCTTGGCCAAGGTGGGCCTTCTCTGCCTCATTGTTGGTGTAACATCTGATGGATTAGTGGTCCTCTCAGGAACCCTCCTTCCTCTTCCTGCTCTCCACACTTTGACTCTGGCTGCAAAGCCAGGAGTACACCTAGAAATGCAGCACTGTACTTCCATTCCTTCCTCTCTCACGTAACAGGCAGGTTTTCCCTCTTGCAGTTGCCAAACGCTAAATATCAAATAGATCTTACACAGCTGTGCTACAACCGAATGTGAAGAGGTTGGTTTTTTTTTCTAGGACTATCAACTAAGACCAAAGAGCCCCTGGAGATCTTAACTGCTCTGCGCTGTCTCGTATCTCTTACTGCTGAAGGTCTGAACATGCTAGCCTTGGTCCCAGGGGTGTGAGATGTGTGTCTGGGAGTGTGTGCGCATGTGTGTATGCTGCATTAGGGCTGTTCTTCCATGTGGTGCAATCCCTGGTCTTCCTGTTCCTGCTGTGGAAAGATGAGAGGCCTCCCCTTCCTTCTCTGGCTGCTTCTGGCTGCCAGGCATTGATGAGAGAGACTGCGCAGTGCTGGCTGATCAAGGTAACTGGCTTCCTCTCCCTTCCAGAACAGTCTTTATGAGATGAGTGAGCCTTGTACAGGAGGGAGAGAGGTCACAGAGTCTCATAGCTGGCAACGTCTCTCCGAGGACACTGTTCCCTGCATAAAAAGATCCCCTGTGTCCCCCTTGTAATCACAGTGGAGCTAACTGGGACCTGATCTCTGCCTCTCAGACAAAGATGTCCATCTGCTCTTTCACATGTGGGTGAAACCGAGCCCTAGCGAACCCCAGTCTTGCGGGAGCATGCCCCTCACCACCCAAAAACGACTGGCTACCCGTGTGCTCTGCTGAGCTGTGATGGCAGACTTGTCCTCTGTCTCGTCCTG